TAAAAAATCACATAATGAACATTCATATATATTTTTTACTGTAGGTAGTTTAGAAACTAAGTTTTGTGTCCGTGGTTTTGTAACGGAGTAGCAACGTCGCCACACTACTTAAGATCCAGTATCGAATCCAGTTGAGGTGATGTCGAGGTTGTTACTGCCTCACTGATCATTCCTGAAGAGATCTTGGTTAACTAAGTTCTTATTTACCTATTTACTTTTTTCTATCTGAAATAATAATTACTTTATGTGTATGATCACTTGCTATTTCCTGAATCCATATCTTTCTCTTTCTAGATATGACTACGACCACTGAAGACTTAACTATCGCTACTTGGAACCCGTCTATTCTGTTCTCAGATAAACTACTCCCTCTTTCTTCTTCCGACAGTCTTGACCTACCTTCCTTGGTCGATATTTCTTCCTCGGCCGTCCACACAACCAACGCTTCATCGGCTTCCGTTACATCACAGAATATCTCTTCATCCTGTCTCTCCCGGCCCACTACTTACACAAATTTACCGACGAATCAGAAGGGAAATCACCAGGCTCGGCAGCAGCGAATTCAGTCGCGGCTACCCAAACGTCGATCTCCGCCAGTTGGACGCCTTGGCAGCTGCTTTTCAGGCTGGTCTGGCGGGGAAAGTCGTGAGGGTGACAATTTGGAGTTTCATACAGGAACCTGGGGCTGGCGACCACCGAGTATTGAGGGGACCGAAACTATATCCAAAAAAGAGTCTGCTGCGATGTCATCTCCGATGAATGATTCCGATTTGTTGAACACCCCACCTGATGCAATAGCGGTAGGCTTCTTTAATCTCCTTATATGGCTTATACTCCAATCCTTATTTACGGGAACTATTGTTGTGATTGCTTAGCCAGCACGCCCTTTTACGGCCGATATAAAATTATTGGAATGCGCTTCTGAACACCTTCAGCTACATTAACTATTTCAAGACCGACTGTCAATTTCCGCCTTCTGCTTAAAGTTGTTGAATTCTGACAAAGTATAGTATTATTGTAAAGTAAAAGCGATCACTTCTTACAATATTCTCGGTGGCCATTTTTACTAGCCTACTCTTCTGATTTATACTTCTAAATTTCTTTTTCATTTTTAACCAAAAATTTAGATCGTCGTAGCTTTGTTTTATTTGTTCTGCATATATAATTGCTACAGCTCTATCCTTCTAGTTATCCTGAAAAGGGGCATCATGAGTCTTTATATGAGAAAACGGAAGAAACGTTTGTGGCCTATCTTTACTACCGGAATTATTTAGATCTACTTAGTTTGTGCATCTCACTATTTTCAGCTCTGTAGACATGTAGACTCGCATCGATCAGGAATAAATTTTGCTTATACCAGTTTCATATGATGTTATACGAACTCGTAACGACTGCACATGATTTATTGAAAAGAATTTAATTCCGTTTTTAAATTCAGGCATAAGTTCAATAAATATGTGAAGAGGCAGGAGCAGCTTGATAAATAGAGTAATAAGTGTTTAATGATCTGTATTTAAAGTCTTTCTACACAAACAGATCGACAAATATAAATATATAGATTATTATAAATGGTTATAACTAGAGCTATTATATATATGTATAAAATGTATAGATATTTGTGTATAAAACAAAATGTAAACGCATGAAAACAAATATTTATAGGTTTAAAAATAAGCTAGACACCAAATAGCTATAGTAAGTTAATTATATTTAATAGTGTCCAGCTATATTTATACCATCTGTATGGAAGTAATATTTTGGTTTCTACAGAAGATGTGGAATTTCATGGACACTAATATTTTATTATTACTAATCTGTGCTGTTAGCATGCTACTCTATGCCGGAATATTTAATCCGTTGATGGAAATTGTACTTGAAGTATCTGTTTTCCAGCCTTTGTTTTGAACTTTGTCACCTCTGACATTGATTTAGCCTTGCCTTATGGAGAATTTAGGAATTAGAGTCT